AAGGCCTTTCTATTCAGGCTAATGACAAACACAATAAAGGCAGATATGCTAGTTTAACATAATTGGCTGATTTTATACAGCACTTATATCTTTTAGTCCACAAGTATATTATTAAATGCTAGAGAACATCTAATACAACCATTTCTACAGAACTAGGAAATAAATTTCTAAGAAAGAAAGATTTTACAGACCCCATCTTTTATACCCAACCCCAACAGTCTGACTCTAAAGAGGATAAAGCCAATGCCTTTCCTCACAAGAGCTCACGACTAAAGTCGCTTTGCTATCAAAATCTGTATTTCTGATCCGTTATGAGCATTGAGACAAGATTCAAATATTCCCAAAGAAAGAAGCACAATGCACGTTGTGATCGCCTATTCAGCAACAGCGAGCACTGCATTCAAAACTATCTCATCCCAGGAATTAAATAAGGTCAGCCACATTCATTGGCATTTCCTCCACTGTAGTATTGTAGAAAGTCTCAATGTCACGAAGAATCCTCTTGTCTTCTTCAGTAACAAAGTTTATAGCCACACCTTTCCTCCCAAATCGACCCCCTCTGCCAATTCTGTGTAAGAAAAAGAAATCAGAGCAATTAGAATGTTACTTGAGTATGAATGAACTACTGAACATGATGATCCACTTGTTAACCATCAGCTGCTGTTTACTTAATAGGGTTATAGTTCGTGCTTCTAATTGGAGCGCACTAGCTGCTAATCAATATCTAGAGAAAAAAATCTTCCTTTGCAGTTAGTGCCAAAAGGATTCAAGGCTTGTCTGGCTGCAAAATGAGATTTTATCAGGTGTCTTGAGCATTACTTTTAAAGCAGATGACAGTATTGTGTTTGGGGTAATGAAATTAAAGCCCATACCAAAGTGGGCCAGCCAAGAGCAGATGTCAGCCTGGGACAGATGTAAACACCAGGGATAAAACAAAAAGAACAGTTATGTAAATCCATTTCGACGCACCTCTGGAACTGTAAACTGTAAATACAAATGCTGCAAGGTTAACTATTGTCTAAAACTTACAACTTTTTCCAGTGGGAAAACAAGTATTTGGTATGGTGACCCAAACTTATCACTGCTTTTTTGCTCAGTTTCACACGTTGAACTCAAAATTAACTCAAACGTGTTTACCTCCAGAACAGCTTTCTACCTTCCTGATAGAAACCAGACAACACAAACCGCCTAAGAGACTAACGTACAAAAATGCCTTGGCTGGAACAACTTAAAAATATCAAATAATCATGACAAAAGAAAAACAAATATAAATACCGACTCGCTCTTTATTCAAACAGTGTGCTGTTTCGCTTATGATTCCACGTCCTAAATTACGTCAACGCCGTTTCTGAGCGCCATCTCGTCATCAACTGCTGCTATCGACTCCTGTATTTTTTAAAAAGTCTTTTTTTACATCATATAACAAAGTACAGTTCAATTTACTTAGGGATAAAGCCACTATAACTAAACCAGGGTCTGCTCAAATTGCTACCAGACAACACCAAGAAAATCCCAACTACAGAGGAATCACCAAGAAAGCACATGGACACAAGAACTTCACTAAAAACTCAAAAGCTAAGACCAACAGATCTAAACCACCTGATCTGTATGTAGTAAGTCCACAATTTGGGCAACATTTACAACTGTTTTCCCACTGTAGTTGACCAATCTTCCCAAGTACGATTTTAGTTACATCTTACCAAGTTACTAAGTCTTTCTGCTTTCCTGATACGAAGTTACCTTTCAAACAAATCAATCCGTAGAAAAGCCACACATGAATTCATTTTGCCAATACAATAACAGCCAAAATGCCACCTACTCACCTGTGAATATAGTTTTCACGATTGGTAGGTAGATCATAGTTTATAACCAATGACACTTGTTGCACATCAATCCCACGAGCCTGAAACACAATGGTACAGTGTTCAAATTCTAATTTAAAGAGCTAGTCAACTGTGTAATGTAGGCCACAAAATAGTAGTGAACTATGGTAAGTGGTATAGCCCACTGTGGAGTGTGGTCTTTTCTTTACTCTCCCAAAGAGCCCAAGCTGGTAAAGGTTATCAAAAAACCTTCCCCCCAAAACAAACTTTTGGTAGATTAAAAAGAACAGTGAGAGACTTACCAACAAGTCAGTAGTGATCAAAACACGGCTTGACCCTGATCGGAATTCCCTCATGATAACATCTCTTTCCTTCTGGTCCATGTCACCATGCTGCAAATTAACAAACCTTAATTCAAGAATCACCAGTCAAATCAACTATTTAATTTTACTGACATGTATGAGACCAAGCGTCCCTGGCTGCTACACGGGTATAGCAGACAGGTATAGTTAAGAAACAACTTTATTTTGAGCAGGGGGAACGACAACACAGCACTTAACAGCTATATTGTAGTCTAAATCCTGCTTTAATGAAAATGCAATTATCACTACTAGAACACCTCTTACCAGAGCAGAAACTGTGAAGTCCCTGGCATGCATTTTCTCAGTGAGCCAGTCCACCTTGCGCCTTGTATTGAGAAAAATAACAGCCTGAGTAATCGTCAGTGTCTCGTACAAGTCACAAAGTGTATCCAACTTCCATTCCTACAATTTTTCAAAGTTAACAGTTATTAAAATCTAGTTTCCAATTCAGGTTCATTAGAAATTCATTCTGTTAGGCCTAACCAAGACATATTGCACCAAATCTTAAGACAAAGGACACTGGACATTAAGAAAGAGGTCCACCCCAGTCTTTACAATCTAGTGCAGTTACTTTTCTTCTTGTGTGTACTCTGCTAGCATTATTACAAAAACTAAGGCAATCCTAGTTTCTGCAATTTTAGCACAGTGCTTATACAAGAAGGCTAAAAAATGAACTACATCTTAATGTTAAGTAATTAAATTACCTCTCTTTCAACATTAATATAAAACTGTTTGATTCCTTCAAGGGTCAATTCTTCCTTTTTCACCAGAATTCGAATTGGATCTCTCATGAATTTTTTGGTCACTTCCAACACATCAGTTGGCATTGTGGCAGAAAGCAACACAACCTTAAAAAGACAACGATTATATGGTCACACAAATAGCACAACTTTCACAATACTCAAACTGAGACCTAGTGTCTTTGCCTCACTATAATTGCTTTAAGCAGGGGGAAGGACAAATCCATCAGTACACCTGCATTAAACCTAAGCCCCAACCTACTATGGGACAGGGAGTAAAATTAAACTCACCTGAATACTCGTATTTAATTTTTGGAAAATCTCATAGATTTGATCCTTAAACCCTCGGCTCAACATTTCATCTGCTTCATCCAAAACAAACATTTTGATCCATTTTGGAGCTGACAAAGAAAACCATACATACTATCAGCTCTAGATGCACAGGGATACTATTTAAGTAAATTATACTCATTGGACAGCAATACTTACAAAGATATCTTCTGTTTAACATATCAAATACTCTCCCTGGTGTACCAACAACAATGTGTGGTGCTTCAGCCTGCAGTTTTTGCATTTCATTCCGAACATTGGTTCCACCAATGCAGGCATGACAAGTTGCTCCCATATAGTCTCCAAGTGCCAGAATTACCTTTTGGATCTAAAAGCCAAAACCTTAATTATTATCCAGTAGAATTACAGGCTCTGTGCCTAAACTTCCAAAGCATATGGCAAATATCTGGGCTGCAAATAGCTTCTATGCATGCACAATACTTAACTATTTCCAAGCTTAAAATGCAGACTGATCTAACTGCTTCATGATAAAATGCCCTTAACATGTCTTCCTTGTGCCTTGTCAAACTTGGGATCCTGTTGCCCCAGATACCAGCTAGGTTAATTAAATGATTTTAGTTAAATCATTTCCTACATTGCTTTTCATTGTGTAGGAAGGTGTAAATAGTGGAACTCTGCAATTACATCTAGGACAACTTGTTGATACTTTAGTTTTTCCCAAAGTACTGGACCTTATGTCCTCTTGACCTTAATAAAACCTACTTTTATTAGCAAAGTTTTACTTCAAAGCCAATATAGCAGTGAGCTTTGAAAACATAGCATGCAACAGATGCATCACAAACTACTGAGACAGTCAAATGATAACATGTCACTGCAGTTTTCATGTTGCACAACTGCATTCAAACTTAAAAATGGGACAGATCTAGTCCACCCTGAAAAGCTTTGGTTTCTCAAATCTGTTACACAACGCTGCAAACCGTACCTGCACACCCAATTCCTATTTTTAACTTTCAACAAAAACTCCCTGCATGCATGGACAATTAAAAAGGAAGGCTCTTACTGATAGGACCAATTTATACTAAGTTTTAAATTCTTCACAGTTGTGAAACCTGAAACCTATGCAACACGCAAGCAGTTTTTTTGAACTACACTATCAATACCTGTTGAGCCAGTTCTCTGGTGGGGGCCAATACTAGTGCTTGGGTCTCCTTGAACTCAATCTCCAACTGTTGCAGGATGGAAATAGCAAATGTGGCTGTCTTGCCAGTACCTGACTGAGCTTGAGCAATCACATCATACCCTAAAAAAAGTAGGATACATATTTACCGATCCCACATCAAACCGCCACTTCTAGTTCACACCATGTATTCCGTTTGGAACATTAATTATGCCCAAATAATCAAGTGATCAGCAATGAGTATTCTCTTCATTTCAGGTCAGTCCCGAAAGATGATTGCCATCATTTCACTTTAAGGAATACAAACAGGTGCTAGTCCCCCAGAAGTTATTTTCCCTTCTACGGTCCAGGTCTTTCTAGAACAGTTAATCCATTTTTAAAAAGTACGAACTAGTTCTTTTACCTTTAATACAAGGAATAATAGCTCTCTGTTGAATAGCTGAAGGCTTCTCAAAACCATAAGCATAGATGCCCCGAAGAAGAGACTCCTTTAAATTCATATCGTCAAAGTTATCAACAATCTCATTCCAGTTGCTCTGTAAATTACATATAAAAGAGACTGAATAAATGGGATGAACAAGCTCACCTTTCCAACGTTTCAAAATCAACAACCATTTCTTACCTCGATGACACCATCAGGGTCCATTCCCTCTGGGCCTCCATGTTCTCTGCTGACAAGAATACTGCAGTTAGAGAACTACACATTAAGGGAGAGCCCTATTATACAGCCGGTTTCGTCTGGCCACCCTCCCCTGCACGTGTACACCCCCCAAGGCGGTAAAGGAAGCTGGCGGTGCAGGGCACGGAAGGTTCTGTGCGCGCCTGCCCAAAAGCCGGCAACAGGGGACGCCCAGGAAAGGCCCCACGGACGCCGGCCCTTCCCCCAGGCCGGAGAGCCAGGCGCTCCCGTCTCGGCGGCAGACCGTCTCGCGAGAGCTCCACGCGCTGAGCTCCGCCCCTTACACTGCGCAAGCCGGGGTGATTGACGCGGGCTGAGGCCTGGCGAGAGCGATGCCAACGGTTCGCAGGGACCCCGTTGCCGGCGCGGTCCCATCCGCCTTGGGGCCTTGGCGAGCGGGCGCCGCTATCACCCTACCCCCACCCCACCTAAAGTCGAGCACTGCAACTCGCGCCTTCCGCCGTAAATAAAGCTTCGGGCCCCGTTGCACTGTCTCGACTGCTGCCTGCGCCACCGCTTTAACTATACCTGCTCCGTACGGGCAGGGGAAGCCGCCGGGATTTCAAAGCGTCTTCAGGAGGAGAAAAAAAAAAAAACCCCTCCAACCACTCCGTTTTTGTACCCTTGCCTCCCCGCAATCCAGGCCTTACCCATCATGGAAGCTTCTCGAAGGGGAGAGGAGTGCTAAACCCCAAGGAAACGCCTATGAACCCAGAGCTCCCTGCCTCCAACGCCGTCCATTACCATCTCCGCCGGCGTCATATGACCTTCACCACAAAACACCACCGCCGAGAAAGCGCCATACCTGTTATAATCCGCGGAGCCACCAGACATGATCCGAAGACCCACTCAGCGCCCGACTGGAAAGACAGCGGTACCGCGCCACCCGTTTTTTATAGGCTCGCGGCCGGAACCCGTTTTCTGCGGAGGAATTTTCTCGTCGCTCTTCGGTCATCCACCAAATTGTGATCCTGGGGTCCTTAGCTCAGAAAATATCCTAAGCGAGTGGGTGGGAAAATCCAAATTTGGTTATTTCTCGATCTTACAGGGCCGCTGGAAATCCCAGGGCCTTGGGGGAAGGTTGGGACTCTTTGCCTTGCGGCGGAAGAATATTGCAGCAAGCGGTGGCCAAACCGCGCTCCCCGCCCGCCCCGCTCCTACGGGGTTTCCGCGTCCCTGAAGCAGAGGCGGCCGGGGGAGCCGAGCGGGACCGGGAGGCGGAAGCCTGGGGCGGCTGCGTCCTGGGCAGCCGCCGTTTCCCCGCGGGCCGGTGGGGCCCAGCTCGCCGTCCGCCGCCGGCGCTCGGAGCCCGCGGCGGAGGCACGTTCGCGCTCTGCACTGGGTGGAAAATGGGGTTATTCTGCCGGCTCCCACCGCTGTTTAATTCGACGGTAAAGAGCTGCGTGGCCTTTGAGCGTTTAACATCTATTCAGATCTTAAAAGTGTGAAACTTCCTGCTAAGGAAAATGTCGGCCACCCAGCATGTCCCAGGAAATCCGGTGCACCGTAGTACATTGTGCCAAGCGAGGAAAAAATGTGTAGTGTCCTTTGCAAATGTCTCTGGCGTAGCCAACTCTGTTCTCAGGTTGCCTCTGGTCTGCTCTCGCTCTCTTTTTAAAATAATACTAATAATTTTTACGTGTGGGGAATGCCCGATAAAATCGTTGTGAACTTTTGCAAACGGTTAACAGCTAAGGAGTAATTTTCCCTGTAATGCAGGAATTTAAATGGACGCTTCCGGCAGATAGAGCTCCATGCCCCTTTGGGACTAGATAGATTGTGATTCTGGTCTATACTGCTCATTTTTTCCCAAAAGGCTTTGAACTTTAATTGCTTAATACCTAACGCATGTTGATTTAATGGAAATTGAGAGCAATATAACCCTTGCTGCTTAAATAAACGGCACGATTCTTTAAGCCCCAGAGGTTTTCAACTGTAGCTCTGACCCAGGCCTGGGTTAGGCCCAATGCATTTAGTCATTTAACTTTAAAATACTACCCACACTGCAAGATATTATCAGGGAAACATTTTCTCATTAATTCAGACGGCCACCTAAAACTTGACATTTTTTAATCTGTATATGATAGTTGATTCTAAATACATTTTCTTCAAAAAATGTATTTGAAAATTATTATTGTGCCAGGAAGTCTGACAAAAACTAATACCAAGATGACAAAGTAGACGTGGGTCTCATTTTAGTGATGCTGCTCCTTATCCCTCCCCCTGTAATAATATTCAAATTCAGATTTGAGATAACGCCAGATATTTTCTGAGAATGGAGGTCAAAGGTCCTTATTTTCTCATCTAAAACCTACAACTCTCCTGGGATCTGAGAAACAGAAGGAAATACTAAATCAGAAAAATGACTAACCATTTAGTCTCACTGGTCTTTAGGGTGAACCCAATCAATCACAGGGTGAAGTCAATCAACAATTAACACCTAATTGTTGACCGTTTTTTTTTAGGTTTAGCACTACTGTTACATGCTATGGAGGATTTCCAGAATCTCTTAAAAGGAAATACACAAGGGCTAAATTCTTGTTTAGATCACAGTTGCTGAGGGGGTTTCAAGGTAAAAAAAAAGCTTCCTAATAAAAAATCCAGAGTCAAAATCCAACCTACAATGTAATTTTTTTTTTTGAGAGAGAGAGGTGGAGAGAGAGCACAAGCAGGGGGAGGGGCAGAGGCAGAGGGAGAAGCAGGCTCCGTGCTGAACAGGGAGCCCAATGTGGGGCTGGAACCCAGGACCCTGGGATCATGACCTGAGCCGCAGGCAGACACTTAACTGACTGAGCCACCCAGGTGCCCCTCTACAATGTATTTCTAATGAATGCTATGTTTACCACATTTGCATGTGCTTACTAAACACTATTAGGTAATAAATGAGTTAAAGATTTACACATATTAACAAAGTTTGCTATCAACAGAGAGCATATTCTTTTATGGTTAAGATAAACTTTCTACTTTCCTGAGATCTAAAATTAGAGCCTTCTCAAAGACAACTGCTTCTTTGCTAACCTGGATCACTGAGGCCATTTATACTCTTCAATAGCCTCAGCTGACAATTCTAAACCTAGCTAGCATTGTAAGCCATTGTTCACCAGAGGAATCAAGGAAATTAGTACAAATTTATCAGTACAACAACAAAATTTTAAAAACAGTAGGCTTTATGTTGATAGTGATGGCTTCTTATAGAAAGTACCATGTATTCTTTTGAGATTCTTACATTATTTCAAGTCCATCAGTTGATCTTAAGTGATAGTTATGCGTTTAAAGCAGTGTCTAAAAAGCTACTGACGTAGGCGCCTAGGTGACTCAGATGGTTAAGCGTCTGCCTTCAGCTCAGGTCATGATCCCAGAGTCCTGGAATCGAGTCCGGCATCGGGCTCCCTGCTACTTGGGAGCCTGCTTCTCCTTCTGCCTCTCTCTCTCTCCCTCTCATGAATAAATAAATAAAATCTTTAAAAAAATAAAAATAAAAAGCTATTGACATGCAAACATTTGTTAAGGTATGTATTTTGGATCTTTAACTCATGTATTACTTATTAATGTCATTTATTATTTAGTAAACACTATAATACATGCTTGTCCCTACATCTGTCATAAGTGTTTAAGAAGAATTGCCTTGAACTAGATAGGGACAGTGCCACTCACCTCTTTATTCAGTTGCTGGAGGAAATTCGAGGCTAGCTTCTGCCTGAATGTAGGCGGTGTCCACTGAAGCAATGCGAAAGGCAGCACTCACTGATACATTCTTCACAATAACTTTGAAAACCATTTGCATAAAGATAAGTAAAGATTAAGAGAGTTAAAGGAAATGGAGAAAACTGAGGAGGACCACAGAAGGGACTGTGGAAGCTACATAAGGACTGGGTTTAAATCTGTAAACCCAATGTTCTTAAATTCTATTATGTAACCAAGATATATGGAGGGTTTTTCTTTTTTTAGCTCTACCTTCATAAAGACTAAAATAAAAATACATTATTGTACTTCAAATCAGTACATCTAACACTGTAGTATGCATACAAATCAATGGGAAGTTCTACTTGAAATGTAGATACAAGTGGACTCTGCCCTCCCACCAAGATTCAGGAGATTGGATCTGAGGTGGGCCCACTTTTTATTTCGAAAAACTCAAAACCTAAGGAAGAGTTGCAAGAAGAAAGTGATGAACACCAAATCTTTGTCACAGTTATCAATTGTTAACAGTTTAGTACATTTGTTCTTTCTCAGATTTATGACTTTTTTCTGAGCTTTCTGCAAATCACAGACATAGGAGTGATACTTGACTCCTAATACTTGGCACTACATCCTAAAAATAAAGATATTCTCCTTCCATAGAACCACAGAAATATCATTATATCTCAAGTTTACTATTAAAATAATATCTTCAAAACTATCCATATTCAACATTTCTCAAATGTCCCAGTAATGTACTTTATAGCCTTAAAAATAAAGTCTAGGACCCAATCAAAGGTTGCACATTATATTTAGTGAGCCTGCTGTCTCTTTAGTCTCTTTTAATCTAGAACAATACCCCCCATTGGAAAAGGGATTTTCTCTTTAGAAAGTCTATTACATATATGTGTATAATGTGTATATGTGTATGTAGTGTGTGCTTGCATTTCTTGTGATCCCGTTAATCTGGTTTGGTTGCTTTTCCTTTCTTCTAGGACATTCACATTTTTGAAGATTCTAGACCAGTTTGGTTTCATTTCTTTGTTTTAAAATGTCCCACATTTTGAATTTGTCTGATTGTTCCCTCAGTACTAGGTTCAATGTCAACTTTTTTTGAAGATTTTATTTATTTATTTGACAGAGAGAGACACAGAGAGAGAGGGAACACAAGCAGGGGGAGTGGGAGAGGGAGAAGCAGGCTTCCCGCTGAGCACGGAGCCCGATGTGGGACTCGATCCCAGGAGGACCCTGGGACCATGACCTGAGCCAAAGGCAGACGCTTAACCATCTGAGCCACCCAGGCGCCCCCACTGTCAACATTTTTGACAAGAATATTACATTTAGGTGGCGAAGCATCCTCTTTAAGCCATCATATCAGGAGGCACATGGTGTTAGATTTTCCATTACCCCCACGTGGTTGTGATTCAGGTTAATCTACAGACAACATTTTGAAGAACACCTGCTTGTAAAACCTTGTGAAATTGTGTGTTTTATTTGAAGTCATGAAACTTTGCCAGAATTCTATATGACCAGCTCTAATCCTTTATTGGGAGTGCAAAAACAATCAACAATAAACAGATAACTATTATGGTATGTAGCATGGTGCTGGGTCCTTGCAGACATCAAGAAAATGAAAAAGGCACAATTCCCACTTTGGATCTGATAGAGAAAGGAAAAGAAGCACATAAAAATGAGAACATTTCTCAATCAGGTGATCAAAGATCAGAAAATTTGACAATACTCAATGGAAAAACACATATTCTTCTGTTGGTGGGGAGTTTAAATTAGTGTAACATTTTTTAGTATATTTTGACAATATGATGAATTAAAATGCACATGTTCTTTGACCCAACAATTCCAGTTAGGAAATTTATCCTATGCGTATAATAGCACAAGAACCCAGAACTCTGCCCTTCCCTGTCTTCTGCCTCTTTCCCCATTGTCCACCCCCACCCCCTCAAAGAACAAGAACATCTATTCCTGGGCACCTGGGTGGCTCAATCGATTAAGCATCTGCCTTCAGCTCAGGTCATGATCCTGGGTTCCTGGGAATGGGCCCCATGTCCACTCCCTGCTCAGTGGGGAGACTGCTTCTCCCTCTGCCTCGGAATTTCCCCCTGCTTGTGCTCTCTGACTCACTCTCGCTCTCTCAAATAAATAAAATCTTAAAAAAAAAAAAAAAACATCTATTC